AAGTATGAACGCGTTCAAGAACAGACTAGATAAAGCTATGGAAAAATATATGTTCAGATTTGAAATGCCTAGCTCCTTATCGAACCCGGTGGAAGTCTAGTAGCTTCTTCAAACTATCGCCAGTCATGAAAAGATCCGGTCAAATGACACGAGTTTAGATTCTATGAACAAGGCACGAAATGGAAAAGAATCGGCGACAGGCCACATCAGGCCTACACTTCAGAGCCGACATCACTATGTTATGTTATGTTATGAGGTAGAAGTCGACTGGGCTTTTGACGCAAATAACGGGGGACTGCTGTTTCTCAGTTACTTCTCTATTAAATATTAAAAACAACTGTCATGAGAGGAACATCATGATAAATTTCACTTATTTCAATGAATTTTAATGAATAAAAAAATTACCTCTTGATGAGTTTTAGATAAAATATTTTCCATTGGTACATACTTATATGAATCCAGATATATCAACCGTTTGTGGGAAAATGATTATCGATAAGGGCATACAATTTTGTTGTTTGCATTTACCCACAAAATTAATTTCGTAACAATTGAAGCGATCCGTAACTGAGGGTTATGTAATTTTTTTCCAGCTCAGTTGAAACATGTTCAAAATTGCCAGAGAATTTATATTGAAGAGAGTGTCAAAGAATATTGCCTATTTGTTTTAGTGGATGAAATTGATGCGTACTTACTTTCACTCCGATGAAAATTCCACAGCGGATGTAAATTTTAGAATTTTCCATTTATTAGCAAAATAATTACTATTTCGGAGAATAATGTTTCGACTGTCAACTTTACATTTGCGTTGAAAAGTATCAAAAGTTTCCAAGTTTCTAACAATGGAGATCAATGTGAACTATTAAATTTAGTGCAGGTGGAAGATAACAAGATCCACTTCAACTTTTATTCACTAAATATGAACATTGCAGTTTTGCAGTCAGCAATTTGATATGTGCAGAGAGGCAACTTTTCTTACTGGCCAGGGCCTATACTTTCAAAAAAAGTTAATAGATCGTAAGTTCATCCGCCAATCAGTGACGGCCTTTCAAGCAAAATCCACCAATCATAGACAAGAAAATAGAGCGTAAGTACTTACGTTCACTTAGCGAGTTTTGAAAGTATGCCCTAGGACCATGCATTTATTGCGGCAGACAGGGCGTCATCGCGTGCCACGTTAATTCAACCTCCGTGAAACTTAAAGTGAAGTGATTAGCTTTGTGTGTAATTATTTTTTGATGACATCATATGTTATAAATTGGAAACGATTCAATACAGTAAAATAATATAATGTATTTAGAGGCAGGGTCGGTGAGTTCTGGCTCGCTACTTGCAGACTAGGATTCTATTATAAATGGCGACAACTGGAGCACAGCCGAACTCATAGTGAACGTTTTTGAACGTGACAATTAGTGATGTCTGTGTAGAGTTAAAGTGCACAACTCTCTATGGAACCATAATGGAGCGAACAATAGCTGATATGCGATGTGCCTGACATCGGTGTCAGTATGCCTTTTATACTCGTCATATGCAGACTGCTGAACCTCGTTCACGCTTGCCTGTAACCGTTCTGTGTTACACTGTGTTTCACTGCCAGCGGTGCGCTGTCTGGTTACCTGTACATGGTGCCCCGGTTCGAACTAAATCAGGATGGCTCAGTATCGTGCTCCAGATCAGTTGAATTTTGACGAACCGAAATGGGACATTTGGAGGAGCTGCTTCATGACATTCAGGAAAGTGACGAAGCTCGACAGCGAAGACGACGAGATCCAGATTGCCAGCCTCAAATATTGTATGGGCAAGGACGCCGAAGATGTTATGAAGACATTCAGCTTGTCCGTGGAAGAGGGGAAGAGCTTTGAGAAGGTCCTCGGTAAATTCGACGAGTATTTTAAGCCTAAACTGAATATTATTCGGCTGAGGCGACAGTTCCAGCGTAGGAATCAGGAGACCGGTGAGACGGAGGAGAATTATCTGAGAGCCCTCTTCGTATTGGCTGGAGATTGCGAATTTGGAGCGACAAAAAAGGAACGAATTCGTGATCAGTTCGTCGCCGGGATAGCCGACGATAAACTTGTGGAGAAACTCGAACATCTTTACTTGAGCAACCGGGATAAATACTTTGGATCTGGTCATGGAATTCACTCGGTCTTACTGTGACGTCAAAGTCGTTCGACGCGTGGAGAAGGGAGAAAAGCCCGCCGAATATGTCTGCGTAGTCAGCGGCAATCGTAAACCAGTGATCAGCAATCGTGAGCGGCCATCCGCGCATCAACTGGGAAGCGACGTCCCAGGATGTTCCTCCTGTGGGTTTAGCCATGGTAGAGGTAAATGCGCCGCGTACGGGAAAAAGTGCAATAACTGTGGCAAATTTAACCATTTCGCTAGAATGTGTAAAGACACGAGTCTTGCAACGAGAAGCCGTCAAGAGGAGGGCAGCAAAGGTTCGAAGTCAAGTGGCCAAATTCTGGAAGTCACCAACGCGTCACAGGCTCGAGAAGACTACAGTGACGACAGCTTCTTCATAGGTGAATGTAACGTTAAGAATTCAGAGCAGTGGCTAGTAGAGTTGAATTTATTTTGTGACTCGTCTACCAAGATTAGAGTGAATTTTAAAATAGACACAGGAGCTGACGTTAGCCTTTTAGCTTATAATGATTTTTTACAGCTACGACCTAGGCCTGTTTTAGCAGCGGCACGCACGAGATTGCTTACTCCTAGTGGCGAATTGCAGATTTTAGGTATGTGTCAGTGCTATATATTTCATAAGGGCGAAAACTTTCAGGAATCATTTTATGTGTTGCCGCGCGAAAACAAGACTAACAATATATTGAGTAGGGCAGCTTCAGTGGCGCTGGGATTGGTTAAGCTATTGGCCGAAGTCCGTGTAGACAGCTCCTTATTTGGATTTGGTATTTGGGACACGACCCCGGTGAAATTCCACTTTAAGGAACGCACAACGCCTTACGCCGTAAAATCTGCCAGGAACATTTCAATCCCTTTGCTGGGACCAGTTAAAGATGCCATCAGCAATATGCTTAACGAGGGGATAATTTAGAAAGTAGAAACTCCAACTGAATGGACAAGTCCCATGGTTCCAGTAGTGCGTTCCGGCAGCGGGAAGGGGGGAAAAGTTCGCATTTGCGTTGATTTTAGGAAGCTTAACCGTAGTTTGAAGCGAGAACAGTTCCCGATCCCTACCTTTGAAGAGTTGTCGTACAAACTATCAGGAGCAAAGTATTTTTCAAAACTTGATGCTGCTTCAGGATTTTATCAAGTACAATTAGACGCGAGCGCTAGAGATTATACTGCATTCTTACTCCTTTTGGTAGATATAGGTTTAAGCGATTGCCAATGGGAGTTAACATAGCGCCGGAAATTTATCAGCGAAAGATGCAGGCGCTGCTTGAGGGTATTGAGAATGTCATTGTGTACATGGATGATGTGGTGGTATTCGGTAATAGTTTGGCAAAGCACGATGCAACGCTAGCCGATGTCTTGGATAGGATTGCGAAAAGTGGTCTTAAGTTAAATAAGGAAAAATGCCTGTTTAACAAAGAAGAGATTGAATTTCTCGGCCACGTGGTCAATAAATGTGGGATATCTCCTAGTCCGGGAAAAGTTGATGCAATCTTGCGGCTCGAGGCTCCGAAAGATGTGAAAGATCTGCGGAAGGTACTTGGAATGCTTAATTTTCTGACAAAATTTGTTCCGAGGGCGCAAACTATTTTGACTCCTTTGAATGAATTACTTAGAAAGGATGTACAGTGGATTTGGGACGAGCCGCAGCGTAGCTCATTTGAGCATATCAAGAAAGTTTTGAGTTGTCACCCCGTGCTGGCATATTACGATCCGGGCAAAGCGACGGTTGTTTCGGCCGACGCGAGCTCGTATGGTTTGGGTGGCGTGCTGTTGCAGTCTCATGGTGGCAGGTGGAAGCCGGTTGCTTATTGCTCTCGCAGTCTAACTTCCGCTGAACGAAACTACGCTCAAATAGAGGAAGAGTGCCTAGCATGCGTGTGGGCATGTGAGAAATTTCATTCGTATCTCAACGGACTTGAGTTCACTTTGCAGACGGACCACAAGCCACTCATTCCACTCATTAATAGCAAAATAATGCCGGACGCTCCATTGAGATGTCAGCGGTTGTTGATGAGGTTAGCCCGATACTCGCCAGTGGCTCAATACGTTCCCGGTAAGTTCTTGGTTATTGCCGACGCTCTGTCAAGGTGTAAGCAAGCAGGTGTGGATAGCACAGTCTGTGCTCTGGAACAGGAGGTCGAGGCGCATTCTGCAGCAGTTGTTTCCAACTTTCCCGGTTCGGATAGGATGCTTTCTCAGATATTACAAATGCAAACTGAAGATCCAGTCCTGCTTAGAGTTAAATCTTATATCCTGCATGGGTGGCCTGACGAAATGGTAAATAATCTATCAAATTTTTATGCTGCTAGAGGAGATCTTAGTGTCGTTAACGATTTGCTAGTCTTTAGGAATAGAATCGTGATTCCTGACCTCGTGCAGCGGGAGATTCTTATTCTTAAGAGAGTGCACGACGACGGTCATCTCAGCCTTCATAAATGTAGACGCAGGGTGGAGTCGTCGGTGTGGTGGCCTAACGTGGCTAAGGATATGACGAACTTTATTGAGAGGTGTGTATTTTGTCAGATGCATCGTAGGAAAAACCACAAAGAACCAATTAGAGCCTCATTGCTGCCTGAGCGCCCATGGCAGAAAGTAGGTTTGGACTTGTTTCATCTGGGAAATCGTACTTATCTCATCATTGTAGATTATTTCAGCAGATGGTTTGAAACTGTAGAATTGCATCACGCTGATTCAACAGCAGTCGTTGATGGTTTGAAAAGTGTTTTTGCCGCTTATGGGATACCAGAGCATATACGGTCCGATGGAGAACCTCAATTCACTTCGTCGTCGTTCAGGAAATTTGTAGGCCGATATTGTATTGCTCACACTGTATCTGACCCTTTTCGCCCTCAAAAAGGGGGTTGCACCTCAACAGAATATTCCTGTTGCATGTGGCACAAATTTGGACGGTGGTGTTTTTATGAGGAAGACTAGGAATGGTAGGATTGTGAAACCTGTTATTAGATATCAGAGTTGATGTTGCCGAATGAAATAAAACGTATCCCTTGTTCGTTTGGAAATAGGAAGTGTATCCAGTTTGCATACGTATCAATTTTAAGTTTTAAGCTTTAGGTTTCAGTATAGTTTCAATTTTATGTCCTAATTGCTCAATAGTTCTTAGTTAATTTTAGGGCTCAATTTGAGGGGGAAGATGTGTAGAGTTAAAGTGCACAACTCTCTATGGAACCATAATAGAGCGAACAATAGCTGATATGCGATGTGCCTGACATCGGTGTCAATATGCCTTTTATACTCGTCATATGCAGACTGCTGAACCTCGTTCACGCTTGCCAGTATACGTTCTGTGTTTCACTGCCAGCGATGCGCTGTCTGGTTACCTGTACAATGTCTACTGTTGTCTAGGCACGGTTTCGCAAGGGCGCTCTGGTACCTTTGATCCTTTAGCTCAACGACGACCATGGTGACACAGATAACAATGGTCGACATGTGTAAAACGTTATTGATATAGGGAATGCAAGCTCGCTTAAATTTATCTAGGTTTTACTGATGAAGTTAATGCAAGTTCGCTTAAATTTATCTAGGTTTTACTGATGAAGTTGATGAAAGTTCGCTTAAATTTATCTAGGTTTTACTGATGCAGTGAATGGAAGTTAACATACACTTGTGTTTATAGAGGCTTTACTAATGCAGTGAATGCAAGTAGACTTATGTATATTGCGAGGGAGACGCCACTGATATAGAGAAAACAAATTTGTTTACAAATGACAGCTAATTTGCCTTCTCGAAGCAATGGGGTCTTCCAGACTTTCTGAAGAAATTCAAGCGCGATTGTTGCAATTATAAAGTTTCAGTGACTACAAAATAATTGGAATGAACTGAGAAGTGCAGTATTTCTGTTATTCAAGGAACTATCGATTATTTAAATCATATTTTGGGCCCTTGTAGGATCATTGAAAACTACCGGCAAGGATTTTGAATGCAAGAATGCAAAAAGTAGAAAGATTTGTCGACGTGAACACTATTCTTATTTGGCTAAGCATCTACATATGTCACATGGTAGTGGTAATTACTACCAAAAATACTCTCCTTTTCTTCAGATCAACTAGAGGGAACTTAATTCTACTTAGACAGCATTCGCTTTAATCCAGTCAACAAAATAAGACACTTGTGTGTAGACCCCCGGGTATCCAGCCTCGGCACATCCGTGTCCCCAAGACACCACCCCACAGAGGTATCCGTCGCATGTCATGGGACCGCCGGAATCGCCGTAGCATCCGTCCTTTCCTGCTTCACCTGCGCACATCATGGAGTCCAGGACGGGTCCACCTTCCGCGTAGTCTGCTTTACAATCTTCATCACTGACAATCGGAACTGTGACTTTCTGTAGAATATCAGGAGCTTGTAAATACACTATCGTTTCACCCCATCCTGAGACGACTGCATTGCCTACGAACTCCTGGTACATCTCGGGCAGTTTGGCGGGTTGGACGTAGTCATTAAATACCAGTGGTGAAGCAACTTTTATCAAGGAAATGTCGTTCTCTAATGTCACAGGATCGAAGTTCTCGTGGCGGATTACTTGAACGATGTCTCTATTTTGTTCGGTCCCTTCGTAGATAGACAGTGAGTGTTCTCCTGCAACGACCTGGATAGAAATATTAAAAATTAATGAACATAAAATTCATAGCCGGAGGTTTTAATTTCTTCTCTAATTTCATTTCAATTTAGTTGATGGTTAAGATGTATTTACTCGGTGAAAAAAATTCGGACTAAGAGATTTTGAACATACGTAATGCATTACGTTATTTTGCGTCCGTTTTGAAAGTTTCATACAAATTTTTTACCTGAATCGAATATGAGAAATGATCCAATGCCACCGAACTGGATATATTCATTGGTTATTGAGCTTTGTGCATTCACTCACTGGTGGTATTGTAACAGGAAACATTTTAAACTACTTTTGTTTTTCAAAAACAAAACGTACCTAGAGTGCAGTGTGAATTATGTATACATAAATCATCAGTGTGAATAATGTACCTTGAAGCCAGTTAAGTTGTTTGAGTACACGATATCTTCGACGCAATGACCGGCGCTTATCATCCAATTTTCGGAGTAAATGATAGCGCCGCAAAAGTCGAAGTAACCCTCTCCATCCAGCTGCTGGAAGCTCAGTTGGTAGGGAATTTCCCCCGGAGCGACGTCGGTGCCGTTGATGATCTTGACCTGATCTTTCCTGAGGCGAGGAATGGACGACGGAGCCGCTGGGAGAAAACATTGCATCTAATTTTTTAACATTGCGTCAATTTTTTCTTGCATCTAATATTACTGAAAAATTCCCTGACGTTTTTCTAATCTAATACGGAATATATAAATTAATTCTCTTCTGTTTTCTGAATGATGCATAATATGGATAGTATTAATAGATCTGAGTGCGGTGTTGCCGCAGCGGATGAAATATGAGCCTTCAGCCGAAAACTACCTGCTAAGAATAAATAAAAGAATTTGTTGAATTGTGGCAATTTTCACGTAAAACATTTTTTCTTCTTACCCGGACTTAGTTACCAATATTCTAAATATCTTAACTGACTGGCAATGAACCTTTCAATGCATAGGCGAATCAAGGTTTTATTTCAAATTTTATGATATTTATTTGACTTAAAACACGGAATTATCAGTTTTTATAATAATATAGATAGTAATTTAAATATATAAAAACAAGGCTACACTCCCCATTTCAGTGAGCATTTGCCTCAAAAATATGCGTATCAAATGGTTTGCTCTACAAGTACCCATTTTTGACTAAATAATGACAAATTTTAGGTTTCAGCCACTGAAAAAAGCAACTTATTTAATACTTAATTGAATGATCAAGATTACCTGCGGCAGAAGCAGCCATTAAACACAGGATAACAACCTTCATGATTAACGCTTGTGTGGTTGTATGATGTCCGTTAACACGACTTCCTCAATTTATACTTTAGCACACAATATACCTAATCAACGTGGGCGAATTCACCACGATTACTTCCGAGTGGCACGTAATCTATTTCTTCACTCAGATAAAAATATTTCCCCAGCTCTTCATCAGCACAGCTGGCGAAACAGGGGAAATTGTAATTTAAGTGTGAGTCTAGCCGGAGGCAAATGCCGAGGTGCGGTTGGGTAATGTTTACCTTAACTCTCTAACAAAACGGCAACAATAAAAAAAGTAGAGCTGAACAACGTTTTGTATTTGCAGAATGTTATATGATCGGAACGGAAATTACGAGACTAGCACGCGAAAAATATGTTCAATTATATTCGAGGTGTGACCAGAGGTTGTAGCCGATGAGACGCAACACACAAATAATCTCGAGGAATCTCAAGCGATGCCAACCATCAATCCGCGCGAGCATCCTATCTAACGGGCTCGGCGGGCAGCTCCCCACTACCGGGAAACCAGAGTTTATGGGTTCCGGGGGGAGTCTGGTTGCAAAGCTGAAACTTAAAGGAATTGACGGAAAGGCACCACCAGGCGTGGAGCCTGCGGCTTAATTTGACTCAACACGGGCCATCTCTCAGACTAAGTCCCCGGATTGAATATTCGTCGTGGTTACGTTTGCTAGTGTAAAGGTCGACGAATTGCTCCTGCTGGGAATACTACAACAGAAAACGTTGATGACATGAAAACTAAAAACAATGAAAATTGTCACAACCATATACTGTATATACATGTAAAATAACCGGATACCCTCCATCTGCAAAAAAATTGATAATAACTCAATGAAAATAGCAGTAGCCCTCTGCATACGATCACTGCCAAACGCTAAGCACGAGAAAGACTATGAAATTAAAATCCCTGAGTTTACAACAATCTGATACTTAAGAGTAGACTTTTTCTATTCAACATCTTCAAGTCAGCAAAGGCAGTGACATAGTACGCCATTAAATCTTGTAAGATATGTATTCTAACAATGTTCAGTTTAAGTAGAGCAGATAATTTTTGTATTTTTGATGCGATGTATCAGATTTAACATTTTTTGTGATTGTGGGACATTTCCCACCGTTAATCATATTTCTATTATTTAAACTGAAATTTAGTAATAATTTATGTTTGGGTAATATTAAGATTAGTCTAAGGTAAGTTTAATGTTAGGGTAATTTAGGTCAGACCCGGGTTTCCGCAAATAGAAAATTTCGCACTGATACACCACCGTAGACACACTAAATTTCGTTATCTCCAGCCTGCCTGTCGTCGGCCGCCGCTACTTCACCAGCATTCAACCATAAGTCTAAATTTCTTCCTTGTTCTGTTATTTATCTATTCCTTGGTTTGAGTGCCCGATATTCTTTCGTTTTGTTTAGTTCGCTCATATCTATGCTTAATTAACGTGTGCGATGCTTCAGACTTCAATTGTCTAATTTATTTCAATTCAACTTCAATAATTCAACATTAATTCGATGAGGCTTCTACTAGAGCTCTATATTTAGAGTTCACGCCGAATCGCTTTACCTTTAATCTTACTTCAACGCACCAATCTTCAACTATTCTTACTTTAATTCCGTCTGAAGCATCCACCTTCAACTGATTTTTTCTTTTTTCGCCCAATTCAATTCTTCCAAAAAGTGCGTAAGCACACTGAGTGGCATTTAATCTCAGGTGATTATTTAGTTTACCTTAACCTCGTATAAATTTACTCCTTAAGTTACTTTATGCTTTTTACCTTGTTTTCTATGATCTTTATATTCAAAATAACACAATTTCCACAGTATGAACCGCAAACCAGAGGCATACTTTCAAAACTCGCTCAGTGAACGTAAGTACTTACGCTCTATTTTCTTGTCTATGATTGGTGGATTTTGCTTGAAAGGCCGTCAATGATTGGCTGATGAACTTACGATCTCTTAACTTTTTCTGAAAGTATGGGCCCTGGTTCGTAGCTGGTGGCGGAGCAGCAGCCGCGACTTACCTGTTGTCGCTGTACTACAATTGACGCGGTTCCAGCCATTCATTATCTCTTGGTTTTTCCTTTTGGCGTAATTGAAACCGTCCCAGCTCCAGAAATTCAACCAGATTTCAAGCTTAAAGTTGATATTCAGACTACTAAATTCAATAAATCTTCTCAAAGTTATATATGCTTCACTACCTTGAATAAGGATAAGATTGTATGAAATTATTCATATGATTTGTATAGCAAATTCAAAATTATGATAAATACACCAGAAAAAGTTTAATAAGAAAAATAATCAGGTGGGTTTGTAGCTGTTCACCGAAATTTTTCCCGTCAGATAGATTCTAAATAAGCTTGATCTAACTAGAAAATAGCTAAGCTGGCAACCCTGTCCTGGGACGAACCCAAGCGAAGCGTAGGAACCAAGCTGTCAGACTTTATGAAAAAGCGGACAATAGAGACGCTTATTTACGTGCTCGGCCCAAGACCTAGGCGTTACCTACTTTTACGTCACAGTCGGGCCCGCATCTAAATAGGGTCCGTTCATACGAATTTGTTTTGTTTTGTTTACCTTTGGTGTTTGAAGGTTTTATATTGAAATGTTTTAAATGTTTGAAGATGAGTTAACGCATAGAATACGATTTATTCGGCTCAAATACCATTTACAAAAGTTCGTAGTAGACGCTATGAGGTATTCTGATATCTGATTAATTCGAATGTTGATAGGTCTGACTGCTAGGTCTGACTTTGGTTCGGAAGGTTGAACAAAAAAGCGGACATAAAGACTCTAATATGCTTGCTCCCCAAGTCCTAGGCGTTACAAAAACAGTAGCTGTTTCTAAACTGCTGGGAAAGATAGGCTTCACTTCGGAAACTACATACATATTAATGCCCCAACAAGTCTTACACGGCTCCCAGTCACAGAGGGGGAGAGTATGCATTGATGGTAAATGTTACAAAGTTCCATAGCCTCGCTTGTCCTTCCTTGGAACCTGGAATGTCTCAGACACGACTGTTTCTCGGACATGCGCGAAATATCAAAACGTTTGACTGCCGCATATACAGGGCGATGCACGAAAATGTCATGTGTAGTATTTCCTACAGCATCTGGCCAGCAACAAGATGTTGTAGGACGTGTACTACTGGTATTGGCAATTAAAGCGGATAAAAAACTTCATCGAATGAGACGCGCAAGCGGCACTTGAATTTTATTAAGACGAAGCTTACTTCGCATAAAGCAACTATACAGTAACCGCTTAAGTGAACTATATAGGCCATCACTCACTTGCATTGTACCACAAAAGAGGTCGATATATTTTCAGCCAAAGGGCTGCCGGCCCTATGACTGGACACATGAATCTTTACCTTCTTTACCAGTATACACATCATGGATTCCTTGAAGGAGGCTAACAAACAGTAGTCAGTTTTGCAATCTTCATCACTGACAATCGGAACTGTAACTTTCTGCAGGATATTGGGTGTAACTCCACTCATTGTTAGAGTACTCCACCCTGAAACTATTGCAGTCCCTTTGAACTCCTGGTGAGACTCGGGCAGTACGTATTTCTTAGACGTTGTCATTGAATCCCAGAGAAGCCACCTCCAGCAATTAGATTTCATTCTCTAATGAATCAGGATCGTATGCCTCATGCTTATGATTATTTTGATGAGGTCTCCATTTTGTTCGGTTTCAGTAAAGATCTGGAAAGACACGTTGAAATTTATTATCTTATTATAAACATCAAATACACAACTGTGCATTTGGAGTTACTTTATAATAATATAATAATAATTGCGGTTTCAGCGTGTATTATGCCATAGGCCTGTCGCCGCTTCTTAACATCTCAGAACATCTACAGCTTGTTGCGGTCTCGAACTCACAACTCACTGCTACAATTCTGCTGTGCTTAACCGCCCGGCCTACTCGCCGATTCTGACAAGACACTGGCGCACAGAGCAGGGATCGAACCCGCGCCTCTCTGCGCCAATCTTGGTACTCTGAACTTTAACCTCTGGGCCACCCTGCCCGTGGTACTTTAGTTGAATGCTAAGTATTCTTTACGGAAGAGTGCCATAAAAAGTAAGACTGAGCGACTTTTCGCCTTATGAAACATTCGTGCGAAAATTCTTTGGTTGAAGTGAGTAGAATAGATAATTATATGCCAAAATATGAACTGGTTACATTTAGTTCTAACTGAATTTTGTGCATGTATTCTCCACAGGGGAATAGATTACTGTTGTATTTGTGATCATTGGAGAAAAATTGAAAAGAATTTTCTACCTTATAAACACTATTCATGTTCTTTAGTTGGAAAAAGCAGTACTTTTCCAACCCTCAACTTTCAACCCTCAAGCCAGTTTGCTGTCGTAGTAGTCCCCATCGACGCAATTAATGAGCGGCGCAGATCGTCCAATTTACGAAGTGAACAGGCGCCGCAGAACTGGAAGTGGCCGTTAAATACCACCTCCTAGAAACTCAGTTGATATTAAAATACCACCCCCTCAGATTTCCCCCGTTGCGACGTCGGTACCGCAAACAATTCTGTTGTGACCTCTTCTGCAGCGAGAACATCGAAATTACATACTAGTATGGTCCAAAGCATTATTTTTAATTAAGTTAGCCCACAAAATTCAGAACTATCACAGCTGATAATGCAATAATCCTCATGTTACAGATTAGATTGTGTCAAAAATGTGTATTGAGAAGTTTATTCTAATTCACGTTTAAGAATGACCGAATAAACAATGCAGATAATTAACACTTTCTGAAATTTACTCAATTGTTTCTTTGTACCTACTTTTCTCCGCGCTTCATATTTTTGTAGGCGTTTGTATTTAATTAACATTACCGATACAGAAGCTGCCATGAGACACAGGTTGAGAATTTTCATGATGAGAGCTTGTGTGACAGTAAGATGACCGAAGACAGATGCTTCTAATTTTAAACCCTTTGACTCCGACTGAGGTATCAACAATTCACCATGCGAATATGAAGGGTTTCACGGCTGCTTCCGCATAACGCTTAATATATTTCTTCACTTGATAGAGAATA